AAGACAGAGCCTCAGCTAATGTAGCCTAACAGCAACCAGGCTGTCTTCTAATCAATTTACAGGTCTAATTTCGTAGTTTAGAAGAACCATGCCTTAAGAAGAAATTAAAATATTCTGTCTGTTCTGTTTCTGTATTTGTGTTATACAGGCAGCCCCAAGGTAACAAACAAGATCTGTCCCCTAAGTCTGTCTTTAAGTCGAATTTGTAGTTAAGTCAGGAAAAACAATAATATAATATGTAATAATAATATTTATAAATATTTTTATTTGATATTAATATAAAGTAAAAACATATGGAACTGTACTGTTCATCGAGCCGAAGAACCGCTGAAGCCATGCAATGTTTTCAAAATGTAACAAAGTAGTGCATGCATTCATTACTAAGAACCATTGTATTTACCCCAAATTTCTAATAGACTTTATGGCAGTCCGTTCGTTGTCCTTAAGCAGATGGACACAAATACATCCAAAAGTAACTTATTGCAAATTACAAAGACTTGCTCATCAAATGTAACAAAATAAAATCCATAATACTGAAAATGTATTTAATTAAAATAAAAGTAATTTGTAATTTGTTAATTCAAAAATATATATAAAATAGTAAGGGTACACGACAAATGAGTGTAGAGTAATGTGTAGTATTTACGAAATATACAGCTTGCCCTAACTTTAAATAAAATAATAATTTTGTGATTTAGATGTGTTATGGTGTTAATTGTGCAATGAAAATGAGTTTTGAAACATCAACACATCAACAGCAGTGGGTTGGGGGATCCGGGAGATGAAACCGCAATACAAATGTTCACGATCTTGTATCGCAATTTTGGTCTCAGAGTCAGAACCACTACATCCTTAATTTATGCCCAGTGTTTCCCACCGAATTTGTGGCAGTGGCTGACTGGGGGCCAGATTGTGCCTGTGCACGCGCAAGGAGGCACTCCAACACTTCCTTAAATGAATTATCATAACATGTGAATTTCCCGCTTTGTCTTGTAGTAGGGTGCCGAATATGCGCAAAGTCAAAGAAGAAACGTTTTTTTTTAAAAATACCATCACCAGTCGGTTCTCCCTAAAACACAGGCTCAGTCGCTATAAAAACGCCTACGTTTAGCAGAGAGAAATTAATTTTATCCTTAGGAATAAAAGTAGCTAGCCTGATTTATCGCTAATGAAGGCTTCCATACCTGACAAACCACAAGATGCCACTGCCTGCACATGCCTGTTTGCATTAACTAGAACGCCACTAGCAGGCTAGCAAGTTAATTCACAAGTTCTAGAGCACAGCACTGCTGTTTGCTAGTTGCTCTATTTTTCTGTCCTATAATGACATTCAGTGAGTAATATCTGATAGTATATTTTACTACATACCTTAAGGCAATTTGCACCAAGCACCAAAGCAGCTTCTTTCCTTGGATAATAAAAAAAAACTACGTAAGCTATCAACGAGCAAACTGGGGCCAGCAGGATGTGTCACGTGAATTACGTGCATCTAGCCAAAGACGGCGATACATTTAAGTCTGCAAGCCTGCTGATGAAGGTTCTTAAAATGACATAAAATAAACAAATAATATGACATATTTTAGCATTTTAAATATTTTAAATATATATACTCTCCAAGTATTCTGTTCAAAATTACGTCTGATATTTTTCTGTCCAGCAAAATACAAATGACAAAATGCTGAAAAGTAACTAAATTATTTTAAATACATTTAATTGAAATTCTGAATCTCTGTCCATTAGTCGAATACTTTTAACCCTGGGACTGCTTGTACAGTATGTTATTCTCATGTTGCTGTTGTTGTTTTTTTAATAAAGACATATTATTTTCCTTTTTATATATTGTTTTCCTTTTTGAGATTCACAGCGAGTCTAATCATTCCCATAACTATTTACTTCACTGTGACATGTCAAAGATGACTGGTTTACAGCAGCCTCTGCAGTCATGTAACTGTTTCATATGCCGTGGTTTTGCTTGCAGAATTAAACTTTCATACCCTGTGCACAACAGCACGACAAATTCATATTTTAATAATAAGTGTATTTTATGACTCATTATAGTATTTTGACAGCGTTATTCTTCCTACTGAAAAAAAAATAATTTAAATATTTCAAATGCATTATATAGCTTAGAGGCTGAACACAAAAATCTGAGCAGTCATACTAAAAATAAATACAGGGAAGAAATCATGAACACAGACAAAATAAATAATTTAAATGTAAATTTAAATTGATCTAGCAACTTGGCATTAAGTCATGTCAGGGTTTATAAAGGGTTTGCCCAGATGCGCTCACTGACATAACTCTTTTTCACTGGTCTATACCATATTGATCACATTTTATAAAACTTTATGGTCGTCCTTGATTTTGCTTGACACAGTCATACCTTATGCAGGTCTCCCTGTCCTGGTAAATTAAATATTTGCAGTGATGGTCCCAAGTACCATCTGTCTCTGTCAGGGCACCCAAGTGGATATTGGTCCAGTTATTAGTTATCCAGTGTCCACTGGTGCACCGGATAGCCTGCCAGTCGCTACTCACCCCTTTCCGAGGCTGGGGCCAGGTCAATAAAGCTCCTGCAGTTCTCACCTGTGAAAACACAGGGGGAAACATTTCTGTGCAAAGTTTTGCAAAGGGGACACTTGGCTGAAAGCCGTTAGACTCACTCTGAGGTTCAGCTGACAGAAGCTCACATTACCAAAGGAATTAAGCACACAGAAACCCACAGGATGACACCAGACACAGGCTCATCTGCACTGCAACTAAAATACAGAAGTTACCCAGTCGAGCAGCTGTTAGAGAAGCAGCATGAGGAAAACCTGTATTCCGGAGAGAACTTGAGAATTAAATCCTGATTTATGCATTAAAATCTCACACCTTTGTGTTAATAAAAGGGTCACTCTCACTGAACATGACAAGACAACAAGAAAATAGGCAAAAATGAGTGTGTCTTAGTCCAGCTAGAAATTTTGGCAACATCAACTGCCCACTGTGGAAGACAGAACGCATGATGTATTTAAAATAGCATTTAATCTATCCATCTGTCTTCCATACCTCTTGTCCAGTGCAGGATTAGGAATGACATGTAATAATATTATAATTAATAGGCCCTGTTGCCCTGTACAAGATAAGCGGGTGAAAGACAGATGGAAAATTAATAACAATACAAGGATAATTGCTTCCTGCATGGTTAACTTTTTCAGTTAGTGTTTGCCCTATTAGGAAATACTATCTTAAAATATTCAAGCTTAAAAATTCAGAAAGACAAAATAATTGTTGTTATATCAAGCATGTATGCATCACTGGGGTAGCAATTCAAAAGTTTCATATTTGTGCATTTTCCTGGTTACATGGAATAGAAAGGTGATGGATACATCTATTTGTTGTTTTAATAAAAGATTATTAGAATAAGTTATTCTGTTAACATAAAACATCAAATGAAAGCAGTGGGACAAAGGAGGTATGAGGAAAGATGACTTCCTGGAAATGTTTGCATGTAAATCACAAGCTTGGGTAATATTTTCCAATGAAGAATGAGAAAAGTCAAGCAAGGGATTAGATTCTGAGGGGTCACAAATTAAAGTAAATACACAAAAGCTTGACGGGAACTCGTCTTTGAAGCCAGATTTTGTATTCAGCTTTTTATATTCAGCTTGCAAGGCAGACTAGATGCATGTGAGACAAGATGCTACAGTAAGTCCAGAATGATTAGTTTCTTACAGTGACTATTCATATGCATCTCTTTTATCACACTATGACATATTTCCCCTTCTCAGCAGTGTGAATCAAAATATGGTCATGTATTGTACATGTTTCTGTACAATCAAGTCTAACACTTAAGGCTATGTTTTAGTAATCCTTAAACATACTCATAATAAATAATAATGCAATCATAATGTGTTATAAACATGTCTATAACTATTTATCAAAAGGGATAACTCATTATAGCCACTTGTACTGTATTATGCATAATGAATGCTTTATGAAGCTCATCTACAGTATAATGCACTATAGATACCTTCATAATGCATTATAATGGTCAGTATAAGCATTAAGGATGTTTTGTACTGCACTATAAAGGTATCTATAATGCATTATAGATGAGAGCTTCATAAGGTAGTCATAATGAATAATAAACATAGCTATAATACAGGTATACGCCTTTTTATAAATACTTATATCTATGTTTATAATGCCTTATGAATGCATTATGAATGTGTTTATAAATTGCTAGAAGCATGGCCTTATGTAACATGTTACCATGAAGTCTACCACTGTCACTCTATAAATAATAATAATAATAATAATAATAATAATAATAATAATAATAATAATAATAGATTCTTTATTGATCCCCGAGGGGAAATTCTCCCCCATCTTGATCACTGTAGGTGAGGCAAGCTGGCTGTGAAGGGCCTCCCCCCCACTGCAGTGCTCAGGGACCTGGGAGTTGAGGGCCCTGCTCAAGGACCTGCAGATGTGCCGAGGTCAGGCTTTAATCGGTAACCTTCTGATCACAGGCACAGAGCCTTGGCCCACTGAGCCGCACGCTGCCCCCCTGCAGTTAACTCTGGCTTTTGGCTATGGCCCCCAAAAATTCCTACCCACATTTCACACGTCAGTTTACTCAGAAGGTCTCAACTTCACTGCATGTCTCAATGTCACAGATCACTGATCAAAACATCTTCCAGGATTTCATTCTATTCAAATTGTGCCTGCTGTAATTTTTAGCAAGGTGAACTCAGAGGGATATGCTGCAACATACCAAATCAAATTCTCTCTTCCAGGTGGAGGACCTACCCTTAAAAATGCTGACCAGTCAGCAACATTTTAAAACAGTTTTGGAGTTACTAATCCCATTTGCCAGAAGTGTGACTGTATAATGTGCCAGGTGACAGAGGAGCTGCAAGTGCCCTAAAGGGGAAGATAAACAGCTGAAAATAACCTTATTAGAAGCTTCCCGGAGGAATTCAGCTAAATACACCATTCCATTAAAAATAGATGTTCCTTGCTTGGCTGAAATAATCGCCATACATATGCTGGCAAAACTGATGACTACTTATAGCAATAGTAATTTTCCTCTATCATAATACAGTCTGTAGACATACAACACAAACTTTTTGCATGAAAAACTTTGGAAAGTATGAATGGGTGAAGGTGCTGGGAAAGTTCAAAGCAGCGGTGACTTGCTAGTTTTACTTTCACACGGCATTTCTGTTAAGGGCTGCTGCAACATAATCTATACGCTGAATGACTGTTAACAATTAGTGTTGTCTTGGAAAACAAACCCAGAAGTCACTGTGTTAACAACTGCAGCTTTTTTACAGCATGCCAGTTGGAGCCAAGCCCTAATCTCTACTGATCAACGTTTTCCCCAGTTCGTTATAATCAAATTTTAGTGTGATGATATACTTGTGTTTGTGGGCACTTAAACTATAATGAATATATTTAAATGTATAGATGATTCAATTCTCAAGCATCCCTGGGGTTTTGGTTGGCTCCTGTACTGTTTTTCATACATTCACAGTATATTTTTAAATTTTATTTGTTTATTTGTTGTTTAGTTTAGGGACTGACTGGTCGGTTAGTAACGAGGAAAAATGAGCCTCTGCTGAATTTTGTTTATTGTCATTTTGTTTAGCTTAAACACAGGTCTTCATCAAGCTGACAACACTGTGACAGGACAGAGACTGTGAGCGAGGGACACTTTCAGCAAATCTCATCCCAGGAGCATCCAGGTTATATTCAGTGACATTTTAATCCGGCTGGGTTAAAGTAGTTTAGACTTCAAATTAAGTAGAACTACACATGAAACAGCAAGAATGTAATACTTTTAAGGTGCTTACAATGTCATCTTTGGCATGTGGGCAGGAAAAAGTAAACTCAGCATCAATGGGCAGCATCTAATCTAAAGCTATATAAACAACCCTAAATGCAGCAATAGTTCTTTTTCTTAAACTGTTTCATGTTGTCTTAGATCATTTACTGTGACTTCCAGCCATATCTACTTTTGCCCTCAGCAGACACATATTTAGCATCCCTAAGTGTTTATCTGCCTCAGAAAAAAAACAAAAATCTGCTCTGAACTTTACGTATAACTCTTGCAACAGAAATATGTTGATAAAAGGAGAGCCCAGACCAACATTATCTGTCTTCCACTGTCTTCCTCAAAACGCAAGACTTCACTGAAACGTCTGGTCTTCATATTTTGCTTTTTGCCTCATATTCCCTTGCAAAGAGAAATACTGAAATGCTCTGCACCTAGGAGCAGTTGCTTAGTTATCCTCTACGGGAATCTGTAGCCATCTGGACAGCACAAAAAGCACACAGCGTGACTCTTAAATCCAGATAATTGAGCGGCGAAAGGAAGGCAGACATGGCTAAAGGTGAAAAGCTGAACGTGTGCTGGTTCCATCAGTTATACCTGAAGTCCTGTGGACACCTCTTCCTTTAGAAAATGGCACTACGTGCTGCGTGGATCCCATCCTGTCGCTCCCACTCGGTGAAAGGCTGAGAGGCTCTGTCACTTTACATGACTGTGGTTTCTGAAGTGTCACAGCACCCTTAATCATTAGTGACGCTTGTCAATGTACACGCTGGATCACAAGCCGTTGCATAATCATTGATAAAATCAGCTTTCGTTGCTTCACGGCGTTCATTGAGCAGCCCAGGAGCATTTCAAGACAAGTCCATCACCAGATCAATACAAGATATAGTTCAGTGGCTTTGTGTGCCTATACATTTTCTAATAAACCCAGAATTACTGGCCCGTTTAAAAAATAATAATAGAAACATCTAAAATATCTCCTACAACTAAGAATAGCTAATGGCATGTATAGTTCTTAACCTTGTGTCTGACTTGTTCTGAATGCAAAGTGGATTACAGTGTGTAATTCATTGTGTAATATTAATTTATTTGTATGTCTGTTTGGTTGGATGCTATGATTTCATAATTGAAGTTCTCTGACAACTGGATTCAGGTTTCATTCAACTACCATTTATTGAATTCCCCCGGCATTGTAAATCTACATATTTGCCTGCCACAAAATTTCATTTAAATACTAATAAATGAACTGACATAGAAATTAATACTTTTTTCTAAGGATCCTCTGTGATACAGGAGGTATAGACTTTCCCTTAACTCCCCAGGAACGTGCTTTGCTGAACAGTCCTTCAGATACAAACCCTATTCATAATGCTCCATTTAGGCAACTAAATGTCGAATAAAAGATTTTTAAGAAAAACCCAAAGAAACCAGAATGATCAAGTGACGCTTCTCCGTGTGTGATTTGGTGTGATTTTTTAGCTCCCGCCACATTTGTATGACTTTGATACGGGCTATAGCGGGGTGTATCTCTGAAATTGATTAATAAACTTTTAAAACAATTTCATACTTCGTATACACACTGCGCTCGTTCTAAATGTCTCCCATATGTTGTATATTTGAATGAATTTACTATTGAAATTATGACAAAACATTTTACTCAAACAGTTCTAGCGTTTTGTAACGTAAGCTCGATACAATAAAAATTGTAATATTTCTACCTGTGAGCGATCACGGGGAAACGCAGTTCACTTATTATTAATTAACCGCAACTTTGCAAGCTGTATTCCGACCACAGGATGGTTTATTGCATGCATCACCACCCAGCTCTTACCTCCTCCGTTGATGTCCTCCTCACAGGAGTACCATATTCCGGTATGGAAATACTTGAAGAAGAAGCGGTCGTCCCCCGTCTCCCAGCTATAGCGAACTTTGCTCTGATCCGTGTCGTTCACGCCATATTCGATGCAATTGCGGAGCCTGTTTTTGCTGCATTTGGGCTTGAGGACCTTCTGGGTGCCCTCGCACCAGTAAGTGGTTATAAAAGCCGTGGTAGAAAAGAAAAGAGCCACCAAATTCAGACTGACGGACAGCAACGCCCTGCATTTTCTAGTGGTCTTCATCGTCTAGATGTGTGCACTTAAAAAAGTTCATCAATGTCAAGTCTAAAGCAGAAGGAGACGGCAGTGTCTGGGAGTTTCTCATTAAAATGGCATGGGCATGATGTATTCAGCGCATTAATATCTGAAATAACACATGATAATAGCTGAGGAGATAATAGCTCACTCAGACATACCACCTAAGCATCGCAGTTGCAAGTGAACTTGCTATTGCACGGATCTCGCAAAGCATGCCTGATATTAACATAATCCTTGAACTTCATGTTAACCCTTCCAGGAATCAAAGGCAGTGGTTCTTTCTTCATGAACACTTACTGTTTCAGGGATCTCTCTCTGTCACAGCCCGCACGATCGCTCACTTGCTTTATTCATTCTCTCTCTCCATCTCATCCCCCCGTCTCTCTCTCTCTCTCTCTCGCTCTCTCAATCACACACACACTCGTTCACGCACACACACGCACAGGTTTATAATTATATCTTTGTGGGGATCTCCATTCATTTCTATGGGGAATACTCTAATTATAACCCCTATCCAGCTCTAACCTAACAAAACATAATACAAGTCTTTTGGCGTTTTTTATTATTATTATTGCAGTCACAGATTTTTATAAAATTGATTTGGGGTAGGTCGCAAACCCTACAGACTATATTACAAGGTAATAAAACTGTTACATGTAAATGCATCTGCAAGTGTGTGCAGACAACTCTCAATATCAGTTGACCAAAGTTGACAGTCCTGGTAGGGGTTCGCAGCCCCATCTTCGCGGACCCACACCGGTACATGGTCAGTATCCCACCGGGCCGCGGAACGCTGGCGGTTTTGCTTAGTAATTGGTTGAAAAAAAGAGTAAATTATATATTTTTGCTTCATACGACATCTTACGATCGCGAGTTCTGTTCTGTTCGCATTTGAACAAACGAATACGATTAAACGTACGAAACCGCCGATCGATATGCCGTTTCACTGGTCCGCGAAATTTTTGAACGACGTAAATCAAACCACATAAAGACATCAGTTGCTTTCAAAGTTTTTTTTTCTTGATATTCTTTTATTTTTACGCTGCATTACTTCTCTGTAAGTATTTATTCCCCTGGCAAACTTGACCAGGATCATTGGATGGATATAGCTTATTGGAGTATATAGATGGATGGATGGATGGATGGATGGATGGATGGATGTGCCATTTAAACATTAGGCCTATGATTCATGTTCCAAAAGCAGTGGAAAATAGTAGCAGCAAAATTACATTGGAATGAACATCTGGAGGCTGTGAGTATTCAGGTATAGGCCTACAGATGTATGAAAAATGATTGTAATACAGTAATACATTTGATTTTATAATCATTACAATAATCATATTTGGTTTGGCTAAATTAATAATAAAAAAAAGGTTAAAGTGGCCACATCAAGCCTCACAGTCAATTGGTAACTTTCTGTTCTAGCTTCTAACTGGAATCACACCCACGTCCAAAAGGCCATAAACTCACACCCATTTCTAAAAGCGAGTCATACAGCATGACCGGGCAAACCGTATGAATTAATCATCTCAACTAAAAAACAGCATAGAATATTATTTCTGTTGGGAAGTCCATCTACAAGACCTGTTTCCTTGATCCCTGTAAGAACATCCTCAATATAAGAAAACAGATTTTCTTTTTGTCTCAAATATGCTTAATATGATAGCACTCTGATTTCTCAGTATAAACAGATATACAATGATTTTAGTTTAAGATATGGTGCAGTGGTTAGCACTGTTGCCTCATACCTCTGGGACCAAGGTTTGAGTTGCTGCCATGGCTCCGAGTCTGTGGAGTTTGCATATTTTCCCCGTGTTGTTGCGGTGTTTCCTCTCCAGTTTCCCCCCAGAACCCAAAAACATGCCAAGGTCAATTGGACATGCCAGAGTGCCCGTATATGTGAATGGTGTGTGAGTGCGCCCTGCGATGGGTTGGTATGGTACCCCATTCTGGCTTGTACCCTGCCATGCATCTGTATTCTCCAGGACAGGTTCAGGAACCCTGCAACCCTGAATAGGACAAGCGGTTTCAGAAAATGGATGGATGGATGGGGATACAGATGAGTATTTGTTAAAACTGAAATCAAGGTTTTTAATATTGAAGCAAACAAGGATTACACTAGCAAATACAGCTGGATTCCAGCATTGCATGCTTGGTCCCCTAATAACAAAGGGTACATTTATTGTATCCATTTATACTTTAAACCATTATATATTAACGATTTATACCATACAATAAAATAAAAATTCCAAATAAGCCAGCACATTAAAATATAATGAATTATTGTAGTTAAAATTTAATTAAACAATTCGATATTTTAGGATTTCACTATTTTTGTTGTAGTACTGTTTGCAGACTGCTCAGTGAAAGGAACGACGCCCTCTAGCGTGACATGAAAGTTATGTCAGCAAGCTGTAAGTACGCAACATAGGTCACATTGTAAATGTATGACATATACTGCGAAGGCACCTTTATAGTGACGCGTGAGTGCTAATACGATTTTTGCATTAAAAAAAACTAATCTGACGTGGAGCAGTGTACATCGGGATTAACAACATCAGGGCTGCCAACCTTCAGAAATTTGTCGGAGTAAGATGTGGAGAGAGGCAGAGTGGGGCGTGGCCAAGTGTGTACTTCAGCTGATATTCCCACATGAAAAAGTGTCGAAAGAATCCATATGACTTATTTCTTTTACATTGACCGTATACGTTTAGTATGTTGTACCAAGATATGCATAGACAATGCAGATGTGGACGGGGGCAGTGTCTATGATGCATGTATTTACAATACCGATTTTAAATGCAAAATAGGATTTTGTAAAATGTATTTCATTTGATAATGATCAAAATACTTCATAATTTTGTATTTATAGTGCAAAAATACTGTAAAATACTTTCTTTGGAAAAATGCAAAATGATTCAGGCAGCCTGTGAATGGTGCCTGCTCAGACGTCTTTCAATTCAGTTGAAAAATCACTTCTCTTCATAACATAAGGATCACGTCCAATATATCTAAGTCTGTTTTTTGGTAGAACTTTTGAAATGTTTTGGAATACCTGCTTTGTGGTATTCTGTATTTAGCCTTCTTGAAGTTCCAGTCATTTTTTTTCTAGAGTATGAATGTGTTTGTGTCCTTTAAAGCCCCATTCTGCAGCTCTCAATAGGATCAGTGGTTAGAACTGAGTTTGTATTCCTTGACGAGTTCATTTACTACTTTCTGATTACTTTTCTGGGTACGTTTAAAAATCAAAGCATATTCATCATTTAAAAATTGTCGACTAAGTTCTAAAATGTTTGTTTTCAACTTTCATATAGCTGTCAAAAAGGATGATAACTGAATAATTAATTACTAAACGATTGTACCTTAATTGAAGCAGCTGTTTAGTAGGATGGTATATTTTCATAACATCGCATGAATGACTAGCTGACACATAATTTATTATTATATTTATGATTAAGAACTGAATAATTAATTGCTTAGAAACTAGTTGCTATGGATAAAGGTGCCATCAGCTGTTTGCTAATGAATGACTTGTTAGTCATTGAGTCAGTGTTGCTGATGCAAAGTAGGCCGTTTATTACCAAACACCAACTACTAAATTATTATACAATTATAAGTCATTAACAAGCTGTTAGTTAAACATTGAACTGTTGGTTACTTTAACCTTCATCTGGGTGATCATAAGGATATGTGGGGATCTGGGATGTAACAGGCAGGTCAGAATATTTGATCTGATTTGATCTGTTGACTGCTTATTTCAGATTCTTAGCATGCCTCGTTAGACGGAGAAAAGCTCTTGCTCTCAAACATTGTCCACTTAATCAACTGAGTGAGTGTACTGTTGAAGGAATAGCTCAAATAGGCTGATAGCTCAAATAGGCTGATAGCTCAAATAGCTGATAGATAGAAGGTCTGCAGAGTGATTTCATGCTCCCCTGGTGAAATATTTTTAGTATTTTTAAAATACAAAAACACAGTAGTTTATTCTGATGCATGCCATGGCTGCTGTATTTCGTAGTTTATTTTGATACACTTACAATTAGGGTATTTTATTTTTAAATGCATTTTTTTTATATCTTTGCCCATCCCTGACCATAAATGTCACCACCAGTATCCTGTTAGATCATGTATCATACCAGTATGAATCATATATGGAAGGTGCCATAGTCATGCCAGCTAAGTAATACCCATATATAAACCATAACGTTTTACTATGGGTTGAGAGGAGGCTACTGCAGTTTCTCCACAATCAAAATACCATATAACAGCAAGGAGAAAATCGTGCAGTTAATGGTTATGCGGGAGGCAACATGTGTAGCAGGCAATGAGGCTCATTGTTTCCCTGAAATCCAATGAAAAAACATAAAGAAACACTGAAGAAAAACAAATATTTGTCAATAATGTTTGGACGACATTCAGCTTTTAAAAGAAGACGTTATTCATACTGGATACTTGTTTCGACCCGATATTCGCCTCACCCCTCTAGTTAATATTACAGCTGGGTAGAATTGTAAGATTTGGGGAGAAATTACAAGCTTAGTGTGAGAGCTTGATATTGGATCCAATTGTGGGAGTCTGATGGTCAAAGCAGGAGAGCCGGCAGCGCTGCAACATAGACGCTATAAAAACAATCATAACAGCAGCAGCATATTAGCGAAAAGTTTCACTTTCACCCTCTCAGTTTGACAATCTCAAAATGTGTTAGTACAGTATGGAGTGGCCAATATCTAAACTAATTTGTCCTAAACATAAAGACTAAATAGCAAACAACCAATGTGTTACTGGCAAGGACAAATGGGAAGTAGATGGAGACTGGCAGTTGGTGTGAGGTTTTTCACTGGTGGTGCGTGGCACAGTGGGTTAGGATGAGGCCAGTCCAAACCCGCCTGGCACTCTACTGGTTTCGGACAGCTACAGAACTTGGTGATGTCTGTGATGTCTAGATAGCACTTTTTTCGATGAAGAGAAAACACAGGAATATGCGACATGGTGGAATTGGCTGGATAATTTAGCACCCCTCTGCATTTGGCACTGTCGGCAGGCCTGGACTGCCCATCTGGCACACCGGGCATTTTCCTGGCGGGCTGGTGGGTATGTGTGCCTACAAAATTTATCATGGCACCCCCCTCGAGTCAGAGGGACCCCAAAGGCTAGGGCCAATTTTTAATCCCAGTCTAGCCCCGATCCTAGGTAATCGCATATGTTGCCTGTAGGATTGACTGACTCTGGGTTAAGATTCTGTTCCTTTGTCGCCAGATCATAATACCTTGGTTGGCAGAGTGGTCTCTCCTTTGGGCTCCTAACCCT